CCCCCCCCCCCCTCCTTCGCCAAATCTCTTGAAATCGATTCCATAGAAAAGTTGAAAGTTTGGAAAGAGAACCTCTCTTCTTTATCAAATTTATTCCGCCTGGGTTCTCGAGAGCCACGCAGATGTCATGCTCGCTCACCCTCCCTGCCTCCCTCCCCCCCACGTTCTCTCCCCGCGTCTTGCTGAATTACTCCTCTCGGTTCGGATCGACGTAGAAGGTGAACTTCCAAGAATAAAGAGTCGTAGAGTGAATTTTCATCGTGGGGGCTCGGACGAAATCGTCCCTCGCGAGAAGACAGGAAAGGATCGCGTAGAACAGCTGCGAGCGCGCCTCGACGAGGCCACGGAAGCGCGACGTCTGTTTTTTAAGGGTTTAACGGGCGGGGACACACACACACGGGGAGATAGAGAAAGAGAGCGCGCGCGAGAAGAGAAAGTGCACGGAACGATGCCTTCGAGGGTGATCAATAAATATTGGCTCTTGGGGATAGAATTGGGGTAGCCGAGTATGGCTACGCCGACGGAGGGTGAGAGAAAGGACAGTCGTGCTGCTGCGGTTGCCGCCCCTTTCCTATGGCACACGACGTATGGCAGAAATAACCACTTGGTATAGGCAATGGAGAATCGCTCACGGACCGTAATTCCCTCAACCTTCGTGATCGATACTTGCTTTAAGCTGTTCTGCTACGTAGCGAGAGGTAGGGATCAGTCGGATTTATGGAAAAACTCGCGCGGCCGGGGCATCGAGAGAGAGAGAAAAAGAGGACGAAGGAAAATGACGAAATTCAGATCCACCCTGATATCTCCCATCGTCGAGCAGAACCGCGACTCGGTATTATTACGCAGCCGATGATGATTTTGCGATGAAGAAGAGATAAAATCGACAGGATTGCGAAGTGAGGTGTAAATTGCCGTTGATCCAAGTATTGGAGTAATAATTTTAACAATGCCTGTCGCGTTGAAGTCACGACGAAACGATAATTAACGAAGGAGCCTTTGACGGATAAATAGTCCAGATATAATTCTAGTGTTCAGTCTCCCGCGTTCATTTTTGCGGGATGATAATGTATTCATTTCCTATCTCGCTCAATTGTCTCTACCATTTTCCAGTCACTGCTAAATAGAAATCCTCGTACCACAGCCGTAGAGAGGTTTCCGTGGATTCGGTTAGAATTTGGATGAGGAAGCTGGATGCTTTCCGAGGCGTGAAATGGCTGCGTTAACCGCTTGCACGAGTTCAACCTGGGCGAGGAAAGGGGCGGATACTTTCCATTCTTCTCTCCCTCCTTGGGCGACGCTACAAAATGCTTACTCCGTATCTTCAAGATTTTCGAGTTTGTGTAATATAAGTTGCGACGCTACTTCTCCGCATAAAGTATTTCTTATCGGAAAAGTAATTCTTTAACAAATTGCGCATGCTAATGCGCTTTCCCTCACGTTACTTCTTCAAATGAACAAATCTCGACTGGAAGATATTTATCGGTGAAACAATACCGATCTTCGTAGTCTATTTATCATTAGTGTGATGTATCAGCTTTTTATCGTGTTTTAATGTTGACTTTTAGTTTCCCGCCTTTTTGCTGTTTATACTATCGACGATCTTCCTCACAAATTGTCAGGCTTCGAGATTTATTGGACAGCCCTCGCCATTTTCTCGTTGTTTTCCAACGTTCATTCGGTGTGAATACCGAAATTCTGAAATACGTGTTCCTCCGGCGTGAAGGCGTTCGGAAGATTTAACAACTTCCTTTCTTGAAATCATCATCCTTCTTTTTCTCCCTTTTCCTTTGTTCTTGCTGTTTTCGGGGTTGCCTCCAAACACGTGGATGGTAATATCATTGTACGGATCTCACGAGGAGGTATAAGATGAAAGTTATGTGCTTCGCTATGCGCGAGGGAATCGTAGATCAGCGGTCGGACGTCTGTGGGGACGCAGAAACGAACGTGAACGAACGAAGAACCACCACCGCCTTCCCGCCAACCCCCTGTCGTACTTCTGTGTCCCCTCCTCCACAAGGAGCCAACCTGTCTCTATGCATCCCTTCCACCAATCACACGACAGGCTTTTCGTCTATTTTTCTCTCTTTCTCATTCAACATTCGCGTCTCACTGTCTTTTCGACTCCCCGTGACTCCTACGCTCTTATTTAGACATAGATCTTTGTACACAGCCGTATGTACCTGCCGTTATGTATACACGTGTGTGTTTATAGGTGTGTCCAAGCGTATTATATATCATTGGTACATATATGCCCTATGTAAAATGCCAAAGCAAGCGCATAAGGCAACGGGGTACATATAAGTATGTGTGCACACACAATACTGGGTGTGGCAGCCGTGGCGAACTATTATTTCAGTCTACAGAAGTACGTTATGATCCTTTAGAATCAAAAAGTCAAATGCGGGCATTAAGTATTCCTGTATTGGAGGAAATGGTTGGATCATGTGTTATTCGATACGAAAACAGAACTACTCGATAAGAAAACAGAATATTTTCATCGGAAAAGCCAGAAATTGTTGGTATTTACTAATCCAACTTTACATGGAGAGAATATTATAGTTTTTTTCATATAAATTCTTTTCAATTTTACTATGTTTCTGAGCAGGAAAAGACTGTCAATAAAGTCTATGTTGCTCTAAGTATAATAAAATTCGTTAAAAACATTAACTTTTTTAACTTTTAATATAAAATGAAAGATTAATCGGTTATAAAATTCTGTAATAATTTTCATTATAAAATTCTCTGCGCGTACGTTAAAATTGTAACGAGAGACGCTTGGAAGATAAATTAAAAATAGAAAATACTTTTTCTAAAAATAATTACAAAATAATGTTTCCCAAAGAATACTCTGATCCTTCAGTAAATATAATGTTAGCAATATAGCATAACTTTAGTAACAAGAATAGTTAACAAGGTGACATAACATTAGCAATAAAAGAATAATTTATAATTCATAATGATTGGACACTTGGACGCGTTGGTAAAATCTTGTAGCTTGGCGTCTTTTCCAAGACGCAATTTTTAACTGATTGTTAATTAAAAAAACACTACGTGAACTGTGATCGCTAATTTTATGCAATCGAGAAAATTAAGAGTAGCGAATGATGTTTCCATCTCACAGGGGACCATTCTATTTTTTCGTTGGTGGCACGTGAATTAAGTCCCTTCGCTATCTTCAGTCCTCACGTAAATTACGCGACGCTCCGTGGAGAGAAATAGCCGCCTCTTCTTTTCCCTGCACCAGCTCTTTCTACTTTATTTACATATAGATACGAAAGCCATTGAGCTGGCAGTACTTCCCTTTTTACGGGTTGATTCATTCGGCATCGATAAAATTTGCCCGCTTGAAATTATTGCCAAGTTCATCCCTCCGTCCGCAAATATCGTTAAAAACATTATAATCATTTCGCACGACGTATTATGGGAATAACATTTGAGATTGAAATTTACTGTCCACTTTTTATTCCTCGGCTTTATCCCCGCAGATTTTGCAGAATGAACATTTGCACATAATATACAATTCGTCAGATAATCCAGAAATTGTTAACGAGAGCAAAATGCGTCGCGGTTGATATAGTATCTCTTACGTTGGTTAATTCTAATCGGATTACACACCATCTATATATTAGAATTAGTTATTAGGCAAATATATTTTGCACCCGCTACAATGTATATACATATATGTGTGTATATCGATAGAAAATTTAGTACTTTTGTACTTATGTTCGCTATTCAAACGGGCGGGCGTAACTTGGAGCCTATTATGAACAACCGCATAAACATCCCTTGGCGTTATCAGTTGTCGGGCGCCGGGGCGCCGGATATTGTCGCATCCTGCGTTTTGCCCTCTCGCTCCTCAAAACGGAGAGAGAGAGAAAGAGAAAGAGAGATAGAGATGTTGGAACAAAATATAGAAGGCAGAACAGAATAGCACAAACTAAGTCGCAAAGTTAATTACCTCTCTCCGACGATCGTATTGGTAATAAAACATCGCGTGTTTCTATCTTCTATGAATTATACATTTAGTTCCTTGTTACCAAAAAAGTTAAGTATTAGATTTCACAAAATTACAAAGAGTTCTCTTTCAGTCCGTAAAAAACGGCAAGGAAAAATAGTGTCCCCGTATTGCGTGCGAATGATCGAAACGTGAACCCCCCATGTGGCCATACCTAATACATCTCTTCTATTTGAAAAGAGATTGTGAGCAGACGCGGGAAAGTATCCGACTTGTGCTTTTTTACGGCCGTAGAATTTTTTGTCTCTTTGTCAGCGTAGATCTAAGGTCCTGCCCGAAAGACTCGTAAAAAACTCCAAAACAGACTTTTCCCAGGTGAAAGTTGCGTTCTTGCTATTGGGAATGGGCTCTGCCGTTTTTCCGTCTAAAAAAAAGGAAACCAACATAATGTAGCGAACGTTTGGGACATCAGTAACGGTTAACACATTTTTTTACTTCCCGCCTGTTATCTTCCCGCCATCGACTCCCGTCTTGAACTAAGGAATGAGACCTGATATTATATCAGAATTAAAGAAATCGTTACTAGGGAATTCATCTCTATTTTGATATCATATATTACATCAATACGGAGATTGTTGTACATTAATTTTTACTTTTATATATCACGTTTCACCAAAATATTAATGCAGTAATAATTATGTAATCGAGATGCTTTTCAAACACTTGTACTCACGTATTATGAACCATTAATTTACTGTTCCAAAAAAACACACACAACGTAAAATATCTGTTCTTACTAAAAGCGTTACAGAGCGAAAGTAACTTACGACATAACTATTCCGCGTA